ATTTAACTTATTATGCCCTCTTCCTATGTTCTTCTGATTAATTTCGTTGTGGGTCCAATGACAGTTTAACTTTCCCCCGGGACAAACTTGGCCTTCACTGGTTGGGTTTTTATTGGCGGTCAAGCTGTAGATCTACACAGGAGTTGCAGCTGTGTGAATGAGAGGTGGGAATAGTATTTTTATTGTGTCCTGTATTGGAATCGAAGCCACGATTACGAAAAATAGTCGAATTTTCTAATCACTGTAACAAAAATTAAATGTTCCATGCATAGTGGTTCTAACGCGTTGATGTCTTTTATATGCATGAGTATGTTTATTCAATTCCGAGTTATTTTTAAAGGATATTGCTAAGTTATTATTATTATTTTAACTAACGGCATTAAAGAAATAACATTTATCTACATTAACAATATTAGTGTGTGTATTTCTGTCTGTTTAAATCACTTTTTGCGTGCCTAAACGGTTAAGTTCGATGATCTTATTCTTTATTCAACGTTTTATTTATTAATAATTAAAAAATTTAAGCAAATTACATAATTATAACATCCTCATGAAGTAAATAAATGGCAGATTTAAAGTTCGTGTTTGTAATAGGTATTTATTGGTTTAGATTTCACGCTTCAGCAAAGGCATTTCATAATCGGCTGTAGGTACTCGTATATTTTATAAATAATCATAATTATAAAATTTATATTGATTTTAATCAATAATGTAACTTAAATTTCGTTTTGTAATTTTAAAATTAGTTACAACTAGCGACCGCCTGCGACTTCGTACGCGTAGATCTAGGGGTGTAGTTTCGTAAAATCCTTTCTTAGCGGATGCCTACGCCATAACATCTACAGTGGATACCAGGGATGTTATGGATATCCGTAACCGTAACCGAAACTATCGGATATCCGAAATAAAAAAATATCCGTGACCGTAACCGAAACCGATTTAAAAGTTTCGGATATACCTAAAGATCGTTGCAATAAAAATACAGGGTGTAATTTATAGCAAATGAAAGTTGGCTCGATTCCTGGGTATGGCAAGCAAATTTTTGAAAATATTTGAATGCAGTTCTATTTCTTTTCAAAAATAAAGGAATGTTTTCTTTGAGTAAAATTCTCTATCTACAGTACTAAGAGTACTTTCCCTCCATGTGGCATTACAAAATTCCACCCTGTAGTTATATAGTTTTCAACATGACAAAAACCAGCGATCCGGTATTGACGGTGGCGTCCCCCTATTAATGAGTTTGGTGGGACAGTTCAGTGTATTGGGTCTAATGGCGCTACTGTCTTATTGTCTACAGCCACAAGCAAGTGACAGTATGTACCTTTCTCGCCAGTGGCGCCAACTGGTGACCGTTTAAGGAAACCCCAATTAAACTCGTTTAGTAAACGAGCCAGTCATAACATAAGCTGCCTTTTTAGGAAGATGATAAGTCAATATTATGTAGCAACGGAAAGTGGCTCATGCAGTTTTATGCGCGGGTCAGGAGTGCGTAACGTGCGATTTAATCGAGTTTGGTGTCAGTTAGGCTGGCCACAAACGTAGCAAAAAATACGTCAAATTCACATAATCTGTTTAGTACATAGGCCCTTTCTAGGGCACTTATACGTCACTACTATTACGAAACAATTACTAACAAAAAACTTGAAATATTTTTAACGTTTAAGTTTTTTACCACTTTCAAAATGCATCTTTCAATAATTATCCTTAAAATCAAAATCAAAGATGGTTTTATTTGTCTAGACCAATTAAATTAAAAATTGTAAATGAAATTGATAATTGCTTATTATAATAAGGAGCCTGTCATGCCTCATCAATTTTTTTCCCTTACCACGCTTCGAAACAAGCATTTGGCAAGTGCTGAGAAAGCACCATAAAAAACTCAGACACCATCAAACCATTCTTACTTGCCACTATTCGACCATTTCAAATATGAACTTCAACCTTACCCAACCTTACAGATTTTTTAAAACTCAGACACCACCAAACTTCTCTAATTTTTGCCACTATTCGACCACTTTCAAATAAATGCGTCTTTTATCTTGCCTAACCTATTTTTTTTCGCAATTGTGCAACATACACCTACTTTATTAACATCGATGTAAATGAGACTTCATAAAAACTCCCCATCAAGTGCTCAGCCAGCCTTACGCTGGTTTCCTTTCAGGAAGCATTACTTCAACGTTATGTAAACTCACGCGAACTAAGTGCCAGTTTGTAACTATGGTTAAAGTGAGGTGGACGTGACAGTGTGTTTAAAGTGGTTCTGTGATATTTTTAGGCATTTACTAAAGCCTGATTCTTCTAAAATAAAAAAAAAAAACAACCGAATTGAAAACCTAATCCTTTTGTTGAAGTCAGTTCAAAACAGTGCGAACTTCTTGAAATAATGATGATTTGAATCAGTAAAATTCTTGACTGAATAAAGCTTAACAACTATTCCGCATCGGTCAAAAAAAATCGCGTAAATTGGACCAGAAATCTCAGTGTAATCTTTGAAAATACCTAGAAAAAAATACCGAACGAATTGAGAATCTTCTCCTTTTTAAAGTCAGCTAAAAACTTCAGAATTGTGACCATATTTGCAAACTGGCTGAAAACACACGACTATAAAGAAAGGAAACAAATGAAGATCAGAATTGAGTAACAGTTAATTGTTTTCAACTAAAGTAAAATTGAAAAACAAATGAAGACTCAAATTACATAAAATACGGATTTCAAAGAGTTAATGGATTTAAAAATGAAGTACACAGTTCTTCTATGCGTTTTAATAATGCTTTTAATAGCGGAAGTTAGCAGTAAAAAGAAGATTAAATCTAAAAAGAGTAAAATTAATAAGAAAACTGAACGGGCTGATTCGGACACTAAATATACTTTTGAAGGTAAATATTGTTATGTATTTACAAAGCAAAGTTATGTATTGAGACTATGTATAATATAAATCACTTTTATTACGTTATCAATAATAATAATCTCTAATTTGCGTCCATTTAATCATCATCATCAGGCCATTTGCACTCCACTTAACAAACTTAATTAACTCAATTCCAATTAAGTATCCAGGACTAGCCTAACTTAACCTACACTCCACTCCACAGTCCTGAAGACAACCTCCATTTCAGTAATTCAATGTGCGAATTCGTAAACGTCAAAAACTTTTCGTTGTTTTTTATGCTCCGCGTAGTCGGTTTAAAATGAGCTGTGACAAGCGTTTCTTGCTAGCGCAAGTGTAGCGTTATAGAATGTAGAAAGGCATCATGTCTAAGACTTCTAGTTGGGTCAAGGAAATGCACTTTTCTACACTTGGTAACTACTGCTGTTAAACTATACAGGTTGGAAACGATAAGTGATCTCACTCGATTATTTCTAAACTATACAAGATATTGAAAAACTGGTTACTGATCCTAAAATTGCTTCGCGAGTTCTTTTTAAGTATGGATCAAAGAAAAATCATTGATTATACTGCTCAAATGCAACAATTTTCCTACAGAAACAATATACAAAATTAAAAAAAAATAAGGAAATTACCATCCTATACTAATTGACTGATTAGTGATGAGATGATAGTTTGTATGGAAAAGTATTTGTTTAAGATTTGAACTTCCTTCTCTTTTGAAAAATTGTTGCATTTGAGCAATTATTCCTTTTTGTTTGATCCATACTTAAAACAGACATCCTGTACTTATTTCTTTACAACAACTGTCAATGTCAAATTGACAGCTCTATTTATCCATAAAGGCTGATTTACACGTATTAAGTTGTTAGGTAAATTGCATGTAAACAGTACTTGAAACTTAAAATTTAGTTGACAACTAAATTTTAACTTGCAACTTACTACTAAATTGTGTGTTTACACTCAATTAATCACTTAAAATTAAGTAATTTATGCCCGTTTTCACCATCAATCACTAATTTTTAAGTCACCCCTATGAAAACAAAATTCATATTATTTGTTACCATAGGGGTCACTTAAAAATTAGGGATTGATGGTGAAAACGGGCATTAGTTACCTACTTATCTACTTAACACGTGTAAATCAGCCTTTACAGTTCAACAACGCGCTGGCCCTAGATCTAATTCTTTATGCGTATATTTTTATGTATTTAAGAAACTTATTACCCAAGGAATAATTTAAATAAAATTAAATATGTTTTGTTATTGTATTTGAAATATGGTAATTGCAACGCGAAGTGCGTGATATACCTACGTCAATAAAATATGTATATTGTATTTTATTCACTGAGTACGGTCAAGCGGCTCGACCTAAATATGAAACCTCCATATATTATAAAATATATTATTAGCTTTTGCTACCGGAAATTAATCTATGGTCCAGTGGTTTGAGAGAAATAAATCTTGACATGGCCTGAATTTGATTCTGAAGAAGGGCTGAATGGTTAATGGACACGACATACCGTTAGCACAGTAGTTAGCGAAGCGAATTCAGTAAACTACACATATCTGAGTTTTTTCATTACATTATATTCTAAATGAATATAAAAAAATCCATGAGAGTTGTCAGCAAAGCACTACACCTTTTCTGAAACTTAAAAGAAACGGGGACTAACTTACAGAATTGATCCAAATTGACATAAGCACAGCTTAGTGCAGTAGCCCCTAGAACAGACTGTAAACCCTTTGTTGACAAATAAATACTGTTTACTTAAATTTACTTACTTACTTAAATAAATCAGCTGACACTAACTATTTATAATTGTACATAATATTATGTGCATTGTCCAACAAACCTTTTGAAACCATAGTTGAAAAAAATTTATTGCTATGTTACTAACCATCCTAACTAAAAGGTTGCACCACCTAACTTTGACCGTAACTATGACGATAACCGGTGTTTTTGTATGGAGTTTGACAGATTTTTGACGTTTGTCAAAGTTAAAGTAAGATGGTGCAACCCAGCCTTAACTATAAGAATTTACACTTGTATTCACTAGCTAAGAAAAACACAAAAAAACCATTCTAACTCCATATTTCTTTTGTTTCAGGCTGTGGTATAGCCGTGGGCAAGCAAACCGCCCAACGCAGGATCGTAGGCGGTGACGACGCAGGCTTCGGCACGTTCCCCTGGCAAGCCTACATCCGGATAGGCTCGTCAAGGTTGTATACAACTTTGTGTATTAGTTATGTATACAGATTAGCTTGCCACCACCAAAATTAGTATGGCACATGTAATTTTTGAATAGAGATGATAAAATTTAGTATTAATGAAAAAAGCTAAGATCTCTTTATTTTTATTATAAGCAAAAGATGTCTGTGTTTACTATACTAACGCCAGTATTCATAAACGATGCTTGCTTAAGTAAAGCAGCAAATCGAGCGCTCAGCGTTGAATAGAGCTTTGTGATTGGTTCGTGTGTGCTCTATGCGTCCATGCGCACTGTGAGACCTCATAGTAATGTTTGTGAATACGGGCGTAATCATTATGTCCTAATAAAGAACAGCCAAAAGTACAGTATTAAAAAGAGAGATTCCCATACTACAATTTATGTAGAATCATAATTTTTACACATCATTAAAAAGGTAAAAATTATGTACCTTTTTTTCATACAGTTGTCATCACTATTCAATTGAAATTGTGCCATGTAGTGTCAAAACGCTTACATTTCTTTAAAAGTAGTTGATTCATAATAGTAACACTCGTAGTAGCTTAAAATCTTCTTCCCATAAAACAATTTGAAGTAGGTATCAACTTGTATTATGTTTTATACATGTTTATACATTTATATTTATCTCTGTCAATATTAATGAAGTAGAGAGAGAAATAGGATATTTATTCGTATTAAATTGCGATAGTTTTCGTATATTTCGAGTAATTATTAAAAATTCATAACTTGCATTTATTTCTAGGTCGATTAAGAAATGAATATTCATGTATTATTCAAAACATTAGGTTCACCAATAACAACAACGAATTCAAACATTTGATAGAAAAATCTGTTATGCATGTAATATTATTACTTTTTTGCTTTAAAATGTTACATACAATTCTTTGCTATGAATTAATTAACTATCAGATTTAATTAATTTCTTTGTATTTACACAATTTGTTATTCAACAACTTCTGTTACATTTATTGTTAAATTAACACGCTTCTTTGTGTATTTTGTTACATTTAATTGTATTAATCACTAATTCATGCATAACGCTACTTATTATCATTTGTAAATATCATTCACTGACATTATCATTTGTAAATCGTTTAGAACAAAAACTACTGTATAATTTGTATATAATCATGCACTTATACACAAATCATTGTCATTACATTCCACCATTACTTTACCAACATCATTATTATTTTTATGAGCATTTACGTAATTGAAACTTAACTTTATAATTCCATAAAGCTTTGTGTTATTATTAACTCCTAAAAATGTATAAAACACTCATTACTGTACAGATATTCTACTGTCTAGTTATTAAACCCTGATGTGATGTATTTCTTTAATGTTTTTGTCAAAATTCAAGTGATTTATTAAAGCTTAGATAAAGCCTGTTTTCTAAATATCTGAAATACGTATTTTACATAAAAGTTTTAGTTCTATTTCAAAATGTAAATATTCTATTCGTCCTATGATTTAGAAATATTGGTAAATGAATTTAATTGTAGTCGTTTCGCATATATTTTTTTTGGCTTTGCATGAAATATCGTGTTAGTTCAAAGTACAGACGGAGGCAACAAGCGAACCATATTTTAGTGGTTATGTCATCAATCATCAATCATCAACAGCCCTTTACAGTCCACTGCTGGACTATGCGCCTCCTCCACTATAGTGGAGGGTTTTGCCATAACACCACGCTTGACAGGCGGGTTGGAGATCGCAGTTTAAAAGATTGATGATTGAAGTGGTCATGTGCTTTTTTGTTGATAAAATAGTTGTGCTAATGCCATTAACGATTTTAATATTTTTATAATTAAAGCTTTAGCGTTATTTAAATTTTAATAAAAAGATACTAGACAATATTATATCTGTACAGTGGCGGCGTAGCATAGGTTGGCACCCGGGGTGGCACCCCCCCCTCCCCCCGTCATAATATAAATTAGCCTACGGCACCCCAAAATGGCACCCCCCCTGCATGACATCACGACCGTCCTTGCCATGCAGATGCGTCAGTGAGTACTAATCTGCGCGACTTTGTCACCCCCTGATGCTTGGCACCCGGGGCGGACCGCCCCCACCGCCCCCCCCTTACGCCGCTACTGTTAATCTGTAACACTGACATTTTGTGCTACTAATAATACTAATATAATAATAATACATTGATTTTCAGATGCAACATGTTAATGTCCATTTTCGAGCTAATTGGATGGAAGCAGTGTTGGATAGAGAGGTAAATGTGCGAAAGAGACAGCATGGCGTTCGTAGTTTACTCTCGTAGTATAGAAATAGGGAACAGGAAGGAACGACACTGGGATTTTTCAAATTATTGTAAAAGTACATACATATAGCATGATAAATAGTTTAAAATATTAGTATTTATTTGTTTAAAGATTTTTATTATGATATTTATTTTCTCTATTTTATTTGTATAGTAAAACAACATTTTATTCCTTATTGTATTATTTATAAGATCTTTTTCATATTTATTTATACTTCTGACTATAAAAGTATACAAGTTATAAATGTATAATTTACATAAAATTATATAAGTTATTATTTCATAAATGTAATTTAGTCTTTTTTGCATTTTTATGCATGTTGACACGAAACTATTCGAAATTAAATGTAGGGGATACATTCTATTTTACTTTATTACGCATGTCTCATTTTACATATTTATACATTTCTTTAAATTAAGAAATATACAATATCACGAACTTTTTCGCACATTCCTCTTCATTCATTTTAAGTCACTCCAACCATCATATAAATATATGTAATTTTACTGTTTTTCCTTGTTTTCTTTTTTTTTTATTTATATGGTGATTGGAGATTTTCTTATTATCATTATTGTTATCATTATTCCCAGAATTATTACAAATCATTAAATATCCAAATTTTTCATTATGAGAGTAAAGGTCATAGCAGACTTATCAACTCGGAAAGGGATCAACACCGTATCGCCTTTCGCGCGCTGTCAACCGTAAGGCTAGGCGAGGCGTTTACGTTACGGTGCGGATAAGTGTGCGCTGCAGTATGGATTTTCCTTTCCGGGTTAATAAGTGTGCTACTTCCCTAAGTCTATAAAAATAGTTAAAATATTTTATTGTAATTCTGGAGTTATACAGTTTTTTCTAGCGGCCTGGGTAAGTTATGCATGTGATTCAATGCTTTGTAAAAACGCATCATTACATATCCACTGCAGCATGCTTTTTTTATGTTTATTTTTACATTTAGTGTAGTTTTAATATAATTTGACTTTCGGGAGTAACATCAACATGTCAATAACGAATTTTAATTAGATTTTGAATTATATGTCAATGACATAAAGTTCAAATTCTACTAAGAAAATTCGTCATGTTTGGTAAGCAAATAAAATAATAATAAATCAGAATAAAAAAAAATAAAAATATTTATCACGTTATCAAACAAATAACAAATATACAACCTTATAATGTAAGTCAGAAACTAATCATTTAATTAACTTACGTTGGATTTTGTCACGCTATAGAATCACTATATCATCATCATCATCATTCATTAATCACCAAAGTAACTACGCAGTCATTATGCACTTTGTTACAACATAATGTAACATAAAACACTTAAAAACATTTAACAATTAACTAGGTACCATACAAAAGTAATATTTACAGGAAAGTAAAGTAAATAAAAGTATATTGTAAGTACATAATAATATAACTATTTCCTTAAATTACTTCAATATAAAAACAAATATAATAAAAAAATATAAATAAATAAAAAAGAAACAAAATGTTTTTTTTTTCAAAAAGAGGCTCTAGTAATCAAGAAATGCTTAATAACATAATACTGTTTTTAACATAGTTTACTTAAACTGGTTATGATTTTTGATTTTTTTTATGAAACCAGATTTTTCTTGTGATTTCAGAGTTGGTCCCATAGTGAAAGTTGTTCATATTTATGGTTAAAACATCCTGTAAAAATATCAGAACGGTAAAAAAAATCCCCACCCAGTGTTTATTATAATTTAACAACATGGTCCTTACCAAGAATTCAAATCAATTTACTTTATAACAGACTAGCTTTCCGCCTGCGGCTTCGCGCGCGTGGACTACATTATCTACATATTTTGCGGAACCCTATTTTTTTCCGAAATAAAATTTAGCCTATGTTACTCGTGGATAATGTAGCTTTCGAATGGAGAAATAATTTTTAAAAACGGTCCAGTAGTTTTTGAGCCTATTCATTACAACCAAACAAACAAACAAACAAAGTTTTCCTCTTTATTAATATTAGTGTAGAGTAAGTACATTTTCCACGAAACAACCTCTCAATAATTCCATGTTGTAATAGTAAAGGTAGTTAAAACATAATGATCTATAGGAAACAAAGGATAATAAGTATCATGTAACCAATTGGTGATAATGATTGTTGTTACGGTACGATGTATTATGAAATCGTACCAATTAATGATATAATGTACGGAATAGGCATTTTTAATGTAGAACTAGAAGCTACCGGAATTTTTAATCGAATAGTAGGTTTAGGTTTGATCAATTAAAAGTGATAAATGATAATGTTATTATGAATGACGAAATTGCAAACATTTTGTGGATTCTTTAAGTAGGTGCCCTGGTTTAAATAAGTGTTTAATTATTTAAAATTTTTAATAAAATAAAAATATTTTATACAGGTCTGTATAAATACTCAAGTGATAAATAACGTTCTAACTAATACAGTTTCGCGAAAGTGCGGCGGGTCGCATCCTGGATGCCTAAGCCCACTTTCTACACTACTCTTCCCAAAAATACTAGGTATGACCACTCAGGTGACAAATACCGCGTTCCCACTATGGTTACCATATCTTCCCAAAAATACTAGGTCAAGTGACAAACATCACGTTCTTACTATGGTTACTACATAACAGGTCTGCTCAAATCAAATACTAGGTGTGACCACTCAAGTGACAAATATCACGTTTCAAGTATCAACAAAGTACTATACGAGTTAGTAGTACTACATAAACTACAATACTCTTGAATACTAGGTGTGCCCACTCAATTAACAAATATCAAGTTCCAAGTACCTACTAAGTACTGTACTAGTAGTAGTACCTACTCCATGAACTAAAACTCTTGAATACTAGATGTGACCACTCAAGTGACAAATATCACGTTCCAAGTACCTACTAAGTACTGTACTAGTAGTAGTACCTACTCCATTAAACTAAAACTCTTGAATACTAGATGTGACCACTCAAGTGACAAATACCACGTTCCAGGTGTGATGGGTTGCATCCTAGATGCCTAAGCCTACTATTTACACGACAGTTTTGCACAAATACTAAGTGTGACAAATATCACGTTCTAACTACGGCTACTACATCTTCCCAAAAATACTAGGTGTGACCACTCAAGTGACAAATATCACGTTCCAGGTGCGGCGGGTCGCTGATCTCGCGGCGTCACGTGGTCACGGCCGGGCACTGCGTTGCGCGCGCGCAACCGCGTCACGTGCGCGTCACGCTGGGCGACTACGTCATCAACTCGGCTGCGGAGCCGCTGCCGGCTTATACGTTCGGCGTGCGCTCTATTAAGGTGGGTAGTTTGATATTTTGTATACCATGTTCATGGGAGAACTGACGGTCGATGGGGCAGAAAGGTTCTTGAGCGGAGGCCACGTACCGGAAAGTGCAGCGTAGGACGTCCACCTTGTGGGTGGACGTTACTAGATGCTAGGTCGCTACCATCCGGTCATTATGGAAATCTTTGGGGGAGGCATATGTTCAGCAGTGGACGTCCTATGCCTGAAATGATGATGATGAAATGATTTAACGACAGTCATTTAGTCTCCACTGCAGATTCTCAATTCTCTCTAATGGGGCCGCAAATTGAGATGTGTCTTACACTCCGTACTCAATGTATTGAGAAGACCTAATCTTCGCGGATCCGTCTCTTAGTAGCTCTTACGACATCTATGAGAAGAGTGGAGGTGGTCCCTTTTTTACGGTACCTGAAGTGAACCACACAGCTAGAATAGTTGACGTGTTACCTATTTTCTGTTGGCACGAAGCAAAGTTCTCTGAAATGATGATCATCAGGTCATTTAGTCTCCACTACAGGAGCACGGACCCTCTCTAATGTACCAGAAGCTCGATTTCAATGTAATTAAGCAGTCAAGCTGTAGATCCTTAATACACAGGTGTTCCGGTGGGAACTAGAGGTAGAAATGGATCCGTTTATTTAAAACAATAGTTGTTTTATTTATAATAGCTAGTCTAAATTAAAATGCGCCCTAGACACCATCAAAACGATCCGCAACCATAAACAGTAAGAATTACTTGTTTCTTACACTGTTATCTATGTAAATGACATAACAGCGTCATGGCCGCCGACTGTGAAATCTCCCAACTTTCATCATAATGATCCTAGCAATGAGGAACTGTGATGATGATCATTATGGCGTCTGATTAATGATGGGACAGACTGGTTTAGAAAACGAAGTTTTCACTAAGTAAATGATTGTTTAGAGGCATATCTTATGTGTTATAGAACTAATGCTGATATCATTAGCACCTCCATGTTAGACTGGTTGTTTTCTTTATTCTGAGTTCAATACCAATTAAAACTAACATTCTGTTTGACGTGTTCCCTAAGACCGATCATCTTTTGATCCCCTTGCTTGGTGCTTGAAGCCACGATAGCCGAACGGTGAAGGTTGGACTGGCCGACTCGTCATCCAAGGAACGCGGGTTCGATTCCCGCCGCCGCTCGACTATTGTGATTGTGGTGAGCCCACTCGTGACACAAGCATTACTCGTATTTATTTGCTTGGTACGAGGGGTAACACAAAATATTACTAACTAGCGGCCGCCCGCGACTTCGTACGCGTGGATCTCGTTTTACCCCCCCTTCATCTATCTTACGCGGTTCAGATTTTTTCATACAAATGTTTTTTCCCGCTAACTCCCGTTCCCGTGGGAATTTTGCAATATCCTGTTGTAACTAAGCTTTAAGTTTACTAAGGTACCTGCATGCCAAATTTCAAGCGTCTAACTTAAGCGGTTTAGATTTTTCATACAAAAGGATTTTCCCGCTAATTCCCGTTCCCGTGGGAATTCCTAAGTATCCTATAACCTGCCCAGGAGTATGAAGAATAATTGTACCAAGTTTCGTTAAAATCCGTCGAGTAGTTTTTGTTTCTATAAGGAACATACAGACAGACAGACAGACAGACAGACAGACAGACAGACAAAAATTTTACTGATTGCATTTTTGGCATCAGTATCGATCACTAATCACCCCCTGATAGTTATTTTGAAAATATATTTCATGTACAGAATTGACCTCTCTACAGATTTATTATAAGTATAGATATTCTTTTACAAAACAAAAACTGCATTTTTTTTTAAATTAATAAACATTAAATTATCATTATTTAATAAGTAATAATATATTTTTTTCTCCTTCCAGGTCCATCCACTGTTCAAGTTTACTCCTCAAGCTGACAGATTTGACGTCGCAGTACTTACTTTGGACAGAAATGTACATTACATGCCTCATATAGGTCAGTATTTTTGATTTCTTACCAATTTTGGTGTCGAAAACACATGGGTGTTTAACGATATGTAGGCCTACGTTTTAAAAAATAAAGAAACATTACAATAAATTATTATAACGCAATTTCTTAGTTGCACATTCCTGTACAGTAAGCTTAAAATAGTTCGTGATACCCAAAGTGACCAAAAAGTTGACAATACAAACTTAGACGTATTGCGAAAGTTTGGCTACTTTGGGTGTCACGAAATATACATAAATTTTGAAATTATTGGCACAAATTAATTTTTAGAAATCTGTAATTCATTCATTTAATTGCATCTGTATAGAGAAAGTTACAATTTATCAACATTAACTTATAGTTTAATAAAGTCAGAAAAAAATATTAGATTTTCTCTATTAAACCATTCGTAAAGTTTTTTAGTAGGTAGGTCTAGGTATAGTCAGTATCATTGTCTTTGCTACGTTTATGTAGATGATTTTATGCCATTGATTATTGAATAAAGAGCTGAGGTGGAATTGTGTAAAGCAATCGTTATCATTCATAACGTACGATTATTCTGTGAAACGCTTTGTTTATCTGACTTTATCGTTCGTTATGAACTGTCAAATGATTACGATTGCTTTACACAATTCCACCTCTGATTTTTGAATAGTCAGTTATCTTTTAACTAAAGAATAAACTTGTAATTTTGACATATTTCCCATACTGAAACTATTTCAATGTGCCTTTATTCTTCAGTTAAAAGTTATCCGACGATTGAAAAATCAGCCCCAAAAAAACTAGGGCAAACTACCTATTTCAAAATCAATTGGATTTTTTTGTTTCTGATTTATGTAGTAGGTACGTATTGTACAATCGTTGATTTATGTGCAAGATTTATCAGTCATTGATTTGTAGTGTAATTAAGAATCAATATCCTCAATTAGTTTGAATTATTGCTTTCGTTATTTCAGTTTTGTATTTTTAAAAGCTTCGCATGTCTCTACCACTTTCCGAGCTTATGTCAGTCACATAAAAAAATACCTACGCAAGGTCGCGTGCTGCAGACCATCTGCAGACCATGGCCCCCACAGATTTGTATGCTTTTGTGGCTTAAAGTAGGGAAAACCTGCCTAAGGCAACAAGAAATGCGATTGGTTACATAGTTTTGGTTGTAAGAGAGTATAGTGCCGAATACGAAAGAAGAAGACTGACTGCAGTGCAATGCGGCGTAATACTTACTAGATACTACCATCTGTAACATCCCACCTAACGGATACTTAATATAACTACGTTTTTTGTTCTTCCTCGGGAGCTTTACTACTTCGTGTCAAATCCTACCTTCTGAATTATAAATAACTTGATAACATGAAAAAATCGAACTGCTTAGGGTGGGAATTGAACCTTTTGCTTGCCGAGCGAATGCTCTTCCATCTGAGCTACTTTGACACTGGATGAACCCGTCGAAACCATCTTTTTTTTCATCAATGTTGGGCAGTACCTACTACTGATACTACCCTTAAACTTACTTCGTGGGTTCGATTCCCACATTCGATTTTTCAAAGTTATATAATTTAGTTTGAGATGCAAATCTCAATGAGAGTGCCGAACGCAAAAGATGAAGACTGAGGTACTGAGGACTGGACGGTATTGTTTTATGCCTACTAAGCATGAGCTTATGATACCGGATTCCTTTGAGGCAGCTGTATCTATCTACCTCTATAACATCACACGATACGGCCACATTGTAGATTAACTTTTTTCTCCCTCGGGAGCTTTACTACTCCGTATTAGATTCTTCCTTCTGAATTATAAATAACTACTTAATTAAAATAACTAAACCTAATTTAAAAATAAACAACTTGAAAAAATCGAACTGCTTAGGATGGGAATCGAACCCATGATCTTTCGCTTACCTACCGGGCGGACCTGCTCTTCCATCTGAGCTACAAAAGTATGCTGTTACGGCTAGCGTTTCTTTCATCAATGTTAGGTAGTACTACCTGTGATGCTTACCCTTAAACTTACTTCGTGGGTTCGATTCCCACCTTAGGCAGTTCGATTTTTCCAAGTTATTTATAATTTTGTTTGAGATGCGACTCTTAACGCTAGAAATTATAATTTCTACCTTCTGAGAGTTTTGAAATATTTACTAAATACCTACTAATAAAACATTTTCCCCCTTTCAGCTCCAATCTGCCTCCCAGAGCGAGGGTCAGACTTCCTCGGCCAGTATGGCTGGGCGGCAGGCTGGGGCGCTCTAAGTCCCGGCTCTCGGCTGCGCCCGCGCACGCTACAAGCGGTCGACGTGCCGGTGCTCGATAACCGCGTCTGCGAGCGGTGGCACCGGGCGAACGGTCAGTATATTGTTTTAACGCAGTCATGTAACGCACTTTTTAGTGATATGAACCAGTTAAGAAGAATGTACTGTATAATCCGAGTCTTATCTATTATCTTCTGTCACATGGTTTGTAATATTGAGTTAACAACATTGGTATCAGATTGTATGTCCTACAAGTCAAGTCTGATAATGATTTATCGGATCTACAGCTTCACCTGCTTTGCCAAGCGCGAAATCGGAATGAATTTGATTCAAACCTACAAACAATATCAACCATCAACTTAAGTGACTGTTAGGCTGGGTTGCACCATTTTACTTTGACAATAACAGAGCTCGAAATGTAACCATACTATTACAGTTAAACAATGATTAATGATGGAACGCTCTAAAAAGACACATAATTTTGGGTCTACTGATTAATGCATTCTTTAAATCTAAATCTTTTTTCTCCATTCCAGGGATAAACGTAGTGATATATCCCGAGATGCTGTGCGCGGGTTACAAAGGAGGTGGAAAAGACAGCTGTCAAGGTGACAGCGGGGGCCCACTCATGCTAGAACGTTCTGGAAGATGGTACTTAATAGGAGTCGTCTCTGCTGGATACTCCTGCGCCAGTCGAGGCCAGCCTGGGATATACCACCGAGTAGCGCATACGGTTGACTGGATTTCCCACGCGACTACTTTGTCATAGCATCGGTAATGTGATTTGTAGGTAAAAACCGTGTATCATATGTGATACATAGGTTATGTATCATGTGTGATACATGAGATTGTTATTGTAAGGATGCTTTAGGATGTCAGCTACGGTGCAGTTAATGCAGACTTACCTGAAATGTTCACCATTCACGTGAATTTAACCATAATAATTTAAGGTTTCCAATTAATTTACTTTGATTTGATGCATCTCGTGATATACAACAAAAATTGCAAAGTAATTAATTTGAATCGATTCAGCAGTAATATTTGTTTAAAAAATCATATTTTTGGGATCGCATATTGGAGATGACATCTGAAGGCAATCTTTTGAAAATAAGTATTATCGGTATGAAATATTGCAGCCTCCGTGGGGCGTTGACAGAGACAAACATAATTCCTTGCCATTGCTATATAATTTCATTAAAGGAAAATTACCTGACTTTACTTGTTCTCAAAGATATAAAAAACTGTCTTTGTGAAATTTTAGGATATTACAAACATTTTCAATAAGTGTTTAGACGTTCATGTAAGTGAAACTAGATTTCATTATTATTGGCTAAAAATATATTTTTTTAAGATTTTTTCTTATATTCTGATCAGGCAGATCAGAGGTGCTAAAAGGATGATTTCTTATCAGTGTATTTAAAATGGACTGATGAAATCTTTCTCAGCTCGTAAAAATTGCATGAACGTCTTTACTTTCACTTGAAAATTATCTGATCATGAAATGCTTCAATACACCACAGCGTTTTCATCCAAGAACAACTTGATGCGTCATCAAAATCATGACGTATGTTTTTTGAATTCATTATTGGAAAACCAAAAAGCGTCGTCATCTATAAATATACAGGGTGTTGATTTCAATACTCGCCATATTTAGGGAGTTGATTATTCTGATCACGAATCAGTAAAAAAAATTACTTCCAAAAAAATTTAAAACGAACTTTAACTTTAGTTATTCTAATACCTATTTACACTACCTACTTTACGTGGCTTCCTTCAGTAGGCTATCCGACATGATAAGCGAGCGATCCGCGTAGCTCAATGGTGCCGCAATGCAAATTATTGCAGTATTGCGAGCCACAGTAGACAGTTAATTTCGCACGGAATATATTCGCTAAAAATTCCACTTTCGTTTTTAATTTTTTTTTGGTGGATAATGCGTTTATATAAGTCATAATAGATCACCTAAATAAATATGGCGAGGATTGAAATCAACACCCTGTATAAAGCTCGATTAGGTACCACTCATTATCGTATTAAAGCTGCTTCGAGACTCCGAAAAGTTCGAAATAAAATACGATTTGATACGTTCTTCAATCTCTGAACGATTTGAAATTGAATCGATACGACGAATGCGTGAAAACGTGACACAATATTTCGAAAATTATAGACATTTGTATTACAAAAAACTGTAGATTCTTTCATCTTTTTATTAAATGTCTTCAAAATTACTACACCATTTTTCATGTAAGCTCAATAGGGTAAACTATTTCATGTATCGTATATGATTCATTGGTTAACAAAGCAGTTTCGTTAGCCAATGAATTAGCCTGGGTCACCTGTGGGCTGACTGTGAGTTTATACCAAACACGCATTTTCATACATTTTTAAGTTTTTGAACGTTTCCCGCTAAGGGCGCTGTACAATCCGTCATACATTTAATGTCATTTGATGTAAACTCAGACTAGGCCCTCTGGGCCACTATTTATCATGGCTCATTTGTTATCTATGACAATGTATTTTAAATTGAATCACTATTCTTAATAGAAAATGTAAAAGTTAAATGTTGTGCTACATTTTTATGTAATACACATGCTAAGTTTCAAAAAGAGTGAAAAATACATTAAACTTGTCAATGAAAAAGTCAATACATCATTTTGGTTAATTGTAAAATTGACGATTGATGGAGATAAAAAACATTTGGTGATTTTATAGAATCTCTAATGTTGTTGTTTCCGAAATGAATAAGAAATAGACGAAAAAAAAACATCTAAAAAGGCCTGTAATCTTTGATATCAAAATAATGTCTTTCTTACAAAGACTACTTGATTTTTGTTTATAGGACTTTGTTAATTCAATGAAGCCTTTTAAAAACCCAGCTTTGGGAGCTACGTCTAGTGTTTCCTGAATGCTGAAATAAAGCTTTAAATATACTTTTTATAAAGTACAAGCTATTACTGGATTTGTCTTATTGTTTACCAAAACAATGTTATAATATTGTCATTGAGTCAAGTATTTTTTATTTGACTCACAATTTACTTTATTTTAACCTTAAGTTACTTTTTTATTTGATCAATCATTATTATTATCATTCTACAAAATTATGAATTTGAAATTCATAACATTACTTTGATTAAATTTATCAAATGACTGATTAAAAGTTATTATTTATATTAAATTATTAATTTAAACGATTTTTATACAAAGCCAAACAAATAATTTTAAGAATGCTTAATAGTCAGAATGATAAATTTAATCATTTGGACATTGAAGTGAAAATATTAATTTGCAATTTTATTTTCATTGATTTTATTTAATATTTTTGTGATCCCTATGTGGGAGAGAGAAAAAAACTGTTAAATCCATTTTTTATTACCAGATGTATAGGATTATTTTAAGTTTTTGACGACAATTGTGATAATCGTTATGAAACTCATATTTTTAACCATTGAGAACAATTTTGGAAAACACAAAAGTCGATATAAAAATAAAGGAAAATATTCATAAGTGCCTATAGCATTTTGTACATATTTTTAACATAGTTGTACAGATACTTACTTTAAAAGTTTTTTTTTTACATTTTTACCAATTTGTAAATAAGTTCTAATTCATAAAGCTTTAAATTATTCCAGTTTTGTTAATTTATTCCATTTGAGTTCAGAATTGGAGCGGTTTATTTTAATTACTACATTAAATTATGACCTAAGTTTACCAGAACAAAAACTTGCTAATTAATAACCAATTATTTAAATTGATAAGATAATAAATTGTATTTATTGTTAATTTAAAACCTTGTTTTATTTTTATTACATTATTCAAAATAGTTATTTAGAGAGCCCTCATAATTTTAATTTAATATTCCTTGTCTTTTATTTACTCAGTCCCTGTTAAAAATAGTCAAAGGAGAAGAAACTATACGTATTTGTATTCATGAATCATAATTGATTCATAGGATACCTACCTTATATAACTTTTGTATGCGTTTTGGGATATTAGGGTCAAAAATAAAACAAATATTTAACTGAAGATTTATATTAAAATTTAAGCAGTGATTTAATCATATAAAATTATTATAGGAACATTTTGACTAGACCGTTAAATATTTAACCAACATTTTACCACCCCAAAGGGATTTGGTGCTTCTGAACTATACGCCTCAAAACATCAAATAGAGGGCGGTAGTATCGCTTCAGAGAATCAGCTGTTATGTCTGTGTTGCCAGTTGTTTCTTGGAGGATTTCTTGCCAGTGTTGAGAGTGGCCTCTGGACATCAAATCTCTGAAAAGAAATATATTTTCCAAATTCAAGCCAATAAACTTATATTTATGGTAAAAAACGAACAAGCATAGATGTCACGTAGTATTATTCAATTAAAGAGTCTGCGCTATGGCAACACTGACTAGTTGGTACGGCGCGGTGGGTCAGTTGCAGTCGGGCTGCCGCACGGCACGGACATGAGAGCCTTAAAAGCTTGTACGAGTATTATAACACATCTACACTAATGGGATCCTGCAAAAAAAAAACGAAATAACGGTTGTCTCCGGGGGATCAACCATAATCCATACCAAGACAAAATGGCCACTCACTTCAGCAGCTTCCCCGCAGCCTTAGACCCGTAAATGTCACACCTACTCAAGCTGATGCTGCCCGGTATATCGGCAGTGACGTCTCGCCTTCCGAAGACAGCTGCCCTGCAGAGCGCCTCGAAGATCTGGTGCTGGATGAAACTGCTCAGGAAGTATCTGAAGAAGGTAAGGCTTTTTTATGGCTTTGTTTGTTGCCGGTCAATAATACTACAGGTGGTTTCTAGTTTTTTCGTTATAGAAATTGCAAGGAGGTAGAAAATGGCCCGAATCGTTGCGAAAAAAATCAGACCAAGCTAAATAAAACTATTTAAAAAGGATGGCAAGACTGTGTTTTAGTTCAGAATCATAATGGCCAAGACTTTTAAGTTTTGTAAGAGGTAATCTGCCATGAAATGTATCTAACTTCTTTCTCGAAATAGGCAATTACAAAATTAAATGTAAGCTTTCTTAAGAAGTACTTTCTTCTTCTGCCTCGCCTAATCCCGTTACACGCGGTCGGCTTTCTTAATCATGCACCACCATTAATTATATCTGAACGTCTTGTTTGTGGAGTTAAAATACTTTCATGTCCTTTTGGACATTCGTCATCTTTACTTTAAGAAGTAACTATTGAATTCTAATATTACTTACCGTATGTAAGGTGTATGATCGGGCACATGGAATTTGGCTGCTACATCGAAATACTCTTCACCCCTGTCTTCAGGGGGAGCAATACCTTGCAATTCTAAAGTCAAACCCCAGAATTCTTTATTAAACTTATCTTTATCTATACTGCCTTCGAAATACTTCCATCTGTACTCATCAATAACCAAAGCAAAAGGTATTTGAGGTATTTTGTTCAAAGCCTGTCTCAGTAAAAGCATTTCATCAGTAGTCAAATCATTTTCGAAATTATTCGTAGCATCAAAAATAGTATCCTCATTCATATCACTTTCTTTTGTTTTGATAAAAGAAACTTTGTTTTTAACTTCAATTAAATTGTCTTCTTTTGTTTCAAATGCATTTAAATATGGCAGTCTATTCACTTTTGTTTTAGAATCTTCTCTCATGTCATGCATATCGCTTTCCAAATTCAAATTGTTTGACAAACTCCATGGAGCGTTTTCTAGATTGTCATTTGTTTTTGCTAACCGGCCATCTTCTAAATTAATTCCCAGATGGTGTTTTGTTTCAGAATCCGCTCGCTTTGAGAAGGATTTTGAGCTGTTTTCGTATAAAATTGAGTCGTTTACGAGTCCTAGCCGGTTCAAATGTTGAGGAGTTATCACTCCATACATGATCGCGTCTCCTATACTTTCGTGGAGTGCTGTGTTTGCTTGCTG